GGTATGGAGTGCATCCTTCTAGACCACATTTTATATCTTTCTGTACAAAAACATGTATGTGTGAGTTGTTTTTCATATAAATGATGTACACATCATGCTACAACTTGCTTTTGTCCCTTCAACGATATTTTTTGAGAACTTGCCAGTTGATCTCTACCTAGTTCACCTCTTTGGACTGCTATACAGTGTTCTACCATATAAATGTACCATTTTCTATAATGTAGCCATTTTTCTGCTAAACACACACAGTCTCCAGTTTTTCATTATTACAAACAATGCTGCCATGAACACCCTTGACATGGGCTCTTGTTCACATGAGTATTTCTCTGAGGGCACATATCAAGAAGTGGATAGATTATGCCATTGCTTCTGTAAGAGAGCATCTCAGCCCTTAACACCAGGAAAGCTCCTTGAAGGCTGTATAGGTCAGTGATGTTCGTCATTAATCCCCAAATCAGGAGGGGATATGGAGCGTATTATTTCAAGACCCTATACAAAGTCAAAAGTTCTAGTGCATGCATACATGAACTTTAAATTTGATAGTAATTATTGACATCATATATGACTTATAAAAATGTAAATTATTACATTTTTATGTCACCAGAACCCAGCACAGAGCCTTCCAGCTGAGAGTTGCCTTCCATGACACTAGTGGAGGTCCTGGTTTTCCTTTTGTCTCTTCATTTCTCAGTCTCTTGGTTGGTTTCTCTTGGCCTAGTGGTCACTCAAAAGGTTGATATCCTCAGGTCTTTGGTCTTAGCCTACTTTTGTTACTCCAGAGTCTCTTCCCCGTGGTCAAAAGCTCTCATCCCTAGTTGCACATTGGAAACAACTGAGGAGCTTTAAAATTTACCGAGTGCCCAGGCCTATTTCCCAAAGGTTCTTACTTAATTGGTCTGCAGTGGGGTGGGCTACAAATATTTTTTTTCATGGCTTTCCATGTGATACTAATGTGAGGCTAAAATGGAGAGTGATTGCCATGAGCTAGAGGTTCTCCAAGTGGGGTCCCCGATGAGCAGTATCAGCATCCCCTGGGATTTATTAGATGTGAATATTCTTGGGCTCGACCTCAGAACTACTGAATCAGAAACTGGAGAGTGGAGTCCTACAATATATGTCTTAGCAAGACCTCCAGATGATTCTGAAAATGGGTGATTTCATGACTTTCCTTGACTTTGTCACCATGTAACCACATAGACGACCTCTTTTTTCTCATCTCCAACCTAGACTCCGCTCGTGGACACCTCACTGACATTCCACCAGGGTGCCCCTCCGGCATCTCTAATGCACCCACCCCACTTCTGCCTCGTCAAACTATTTTTTCCTCAGCCTCTCCATCCCAGTGAATGGCACCACATCCTCCAAGACGCTCGAGGCAAAAACGTAAATTTTATTCTTAAAATCTTTTAAAATAGGTAATACATCATGTACCTGAAAACCTAGAAGTTATAAAAAGTTAAACAATGAAAGTCTTCCTCCCACGCTTACCCCTTGTTATGGACTCAATGTGTCCATGCCCACAAATGTATTACCTTGTAACCCTAAGCCCCACTTTGACTATATTTGGAGACAGGGCCTTTAAAGAGGCAATTAAGGTTAAATTAGATAAATGTGGGGCTCTAATCCAATCCGACTGGTGTCCTTATCAGAAGAGGAGGAAACACCAGAAGTGCCTGCACACAGAGAAAATGCCATGTGAGGAAACAGCAAGAAGGCAGCCATCTGCAAGCCAAGGAGAGAAGCTACAGAGAAACCTACACCACAGGCACCTTGACCTTGGACTTTCTGCCTCTAAAACTGTGAGAAAATAAAATTCTATTGTTTATGCTACCTCATCTGTAATATTTTGTCATGGCAACCTATGATGGTTAATTTTATGTGTCAACTTGACTGAGCCACAGAGTTCCCAGATATTTGATTAAATATTATATTGGGTGTGTCTGTGAGGATGTTTTTATATGAGATTAACATTTAAATTGGTAGACAGAGTAAAGCAGATTGTCCTCCATAAGGTCAGCAGGCCTCATCCCGTCAGCTGAAGCCCAGAATAGAATAAAAAAGCTGACCCTCTCCCCAGCAAGAGAGAATTCTTCCTACATGATGGCCTTCAAACTGGAACATTGGCTTTTTCCTGCCTTCAGCCTTGAAGTGAAACAAAGGTTCTTCCTGGGTCTTGAGCCTACCAGCCTCCAGACAAAACTAAACCACTGGCTCTCCTGTTCTTAGAACTAAACCATCAGCTCTCCTGGGTCTCCAACCTGTTGACTCATTTCGCAGATCTTGAGACTTGCCACTCTTCATAATCATATAAGTCAATTCTTCATAATCTTTTTTGTGTGTATACATATACAACACACACATACACATACAAAAGCACCATTAATTTTACAGAATGCTTTGTGTTTTATGCATATGTCTTAATTTATTTAATCAGTCTCCTATAGTTTGTATTTTTAGTTTGTGGGGGTTTTTTTGCCATTAGAAATCATACTGCAATCAATAAAGAACCTTGTGCATGTCACTTTCCACATAGCAAAAATATCTGATGTATAAAATACAGAATGTTAGGTCAAAGGGTATAAGATTTTGCAGTTTTGACAAATGTCAAATTACCTTCTTAGGGGTTGTGCCACTGTACACATCCAACAATATGAGTTTTCCAAGGCCTTAGTAATTGACTATAGTCATCAGGATTTTGCCTACATGATAGCTGAAAAACTAGTATTGGTATAGTTTTAATTTGAATATTTCTTATTATGAGTAAAACCAAGTATCTTTTTATAAGTTTGTATTTACATTTGTATTTCCTTTCTTGTGAGCTGTTAACTGATATCTTTTGCAGATTTTTCTTTTGGATTGAAGAAAAGATCTCTATGTGTTACGAGCTGAAAATACTTTTTCTCAGTTTCTCATCTGACTTTTGCTTTTGATTGTGGTGTTTCTTGTTATGTAGAACTTATTTTGTTTTGTAATGAAGTTAAATATTTCAACTTTTTCTTTTGTACGACTTGCAGATTTTGAGTCAGAATTAGGAGACCTTCCTTATGCCAAAGATAAAATTATTCCCTCCTGCAACCTTCTAGATCTGTTCTGGTATATTTTACATTCAACTCTTGATCCAATTGATATAAATCAAGTATGAATTTAAGGTAAAGTATGAGGTAGAGATTCAACTTTATTAGTAGTAGTAGTATTTTTAAACCATACGGCTACCACGTCATTTTAGCACCATTATTAAATGGTTCATATTTGCCCAGTTTCAGAAGCCGTATCTATCAGAAATTAATCCTCAAAGTTAGAACTATTTCTAGATTTTCTAGTCTCTTCCACTCGGTTTTCTGTTTGCTCATAATCTAGTGTCACCTACTTATTTATTGAGGCTTTATATTCTAATTTAGTATCTGGTATTAATACTAGAGTCTCCACATCACTCTTGATTTTCAAAGTTTTCCAAACTGTTTTTCTTTGCTTTATTTCGTTTTGTTTTTTCTCCCTCAAAAAAAAAATTTTGGCTCAATTTGTCTCATTCAAACAAAACTAAAATAACAGATATAAATTACAAGTATTTGTATTGAGATTGCAATAATTTTGTAAACTATCATAGGGAAAATGGGCACCTTTGTGATAGTAAGTCATCCTAAGACTATGATATCTTTCTATCTACTCACATCTCCTCTGAAATCTTCATTAGTGTTTTAAAATATCATTCATATTGGCAGTGCACACTTCTTGTGACTTCTATTCAGTGATTTTGTTACTAGTTTAGGAGTTTTATTCCTTTATATTCTCCATCCAGTGGTTATTTGTATATATAAAAGAACAATTTCTGCATAGTCATTTTGGGACTCATTCTTGATGCACCCTCCCCCCCATCTCCACTATGACATCCTTCGCCATTGATTCTATCTTTAAAAATACTTTCCATGTGTCCAAATCTTGCCACTTCCACTAACTCCACTCTAGCTCAAACCACCTTGATCCTCATTTGAACAACACAATGACCTCCTTGACTCCATCCTGCACACAGCAGCCAGAGAGATCTTTTCAAAACAAAAAGGATGTCTTATAATCCTCTTACCTGAAATATTTCCATGGCTTTCCTTGCAGTCAGAATAAAATCCAAACTTCTCCCCGGCAAGGCCCTATATCATCACCTAGCTCCTGGCTGGTTCCCAGCTCCACTCTAAATTACCTCCTCCTCATTCACAGAACTCTAGGCCAAAGGCTTCTTTGGGTTCTGAAACACTTCTACTTCTTTCTTATCTCAGATCTTGCCTTGCTCTTCTCTCTGCCAGGAATATTTTTCTTCCCATTCTTTAAGGAGCTGACTCCTTATTCTCTAAATTTCAGTTTACTTATCAATTCTCAAAGAAGCCTCCCCTATTCACTTCATCTAAATTATCTTCCTTTTAATCTCCTCTATGATACTTAGAACAATGTTTAATTATATACTTGTTCACAGATTTAATTATTTGGTATTTCTCTTCCCCACTAGATTGTGAACTCCTCTGCCATCTGCAAAGTACATGACACATAGTAGGTGTTCAGTAAATATTTACCTAATGAATGAATAAATGTCTTCTCTATTAATATAGTCAGGGGGTAGGTATGCTTATGTTTTTTCCCTGATACTCTGTTGTTCTCATTTTAAATCAAGTGCTTATATTTCTAAATCACAAGCACCTCCTCAAACTCTCCTCAATAGCCTAATTTAGCTATCATAAATCTCTTCCTAGTGTTTATTCACACATGTATTATATATGTGATACACTTATATATATGATTATTTTCAAATGATAATTGAATGCTATAGGAAAAGCTAAGTTATACATAATTCATGAGAAAAGAAAAATCCCCTAAGGGTGGTAATCCCATCTTATTTATATGTTGCCTCTACTTAAAAAAAAAAAAAAAAAAAAAGGACAACAAAAAACTACTATTCTCATTAAGGAAGTTATATATTCTTATTGTAAAAGATCAAACAATATAGAAATGGGTATCATAGAAATGCAGAAAGTAAAAAAGATCTCCATAATTCCCAGTCCCAGAGACTATAGTCATATGATCACAGTTTGATGTATATCCATCTTTGGAGACTTTTTTTTTTTAATGCATATTCTATTCTTGCACAGGCTGAGATCTCGTTGTTGCTGTTTAATTTTGTTTTTACTACTATAGGACCCAATTAGACAAACAACACTGTGACTCAATAATACATCTTGGACATTTTATATACTAAAAGATACAGCTCTTCCTCAATTTTTAATAATTGTCTAAAATTTTACTGCATTTACTGTCTCTTAACAGTTGGTTCCCTTCCCTTTCACCTGATCAGTGAAGTAGAGAGAAGAGAGTCTTGAATTATGTCAGTTTTTATTTTTAGGACCTCTGCCACTCCTGGACACAAGGACTAAAGTCACCGCTCAGGAAACCATTTCTCTACTTTGACCTCTGTTTTACAGGAAAAAGTACCTTAGAGCAAATACAAGTTCCATGAAGTTCAGATTTGTGCTCTGAATTAATGAACTGAATAATCAGGTATAAGAAATGTTCATTTAAAAAATTCACATGGGTGAATTTGTGTTGCCTACTGTAACCGGAATTCAGGCACCACCACCACTAAGATGACAGTGCCTGAAAGAAAATTATACCTCCAAACTCTTGCTTTTTATAATTGCTCCTTCTTGCATAGAGCCCAACAGTAGCTGAAGTTTATTGCAGTTATGCTTGCCATGAATGCCACCGATATGTATCGTTTGACCTGTTTTTGAGTGGAAAAAAAAAAACAAAAACTGCAAAACCAATTATTTTGCCAACATCTGATAGGGACTTGACAAGGCACTAATTGCTAAGCTTACATTTCAGGAAGCAACCTGTTTTGTGTTATTGGTGCCAATTTATACAAAGACCGTGCTTGGTGAATATATCATTTATAACTGGCATTGATTTGATGTCACATAATCTCATTGCCAGGTCAAAGTGGTACAACGTGATGCAGCTATGTTTCTGCACATTAATTTGGAAAATGAAGGTATTCCTCCCTGCCCCCAGTCTCTTTCCATTGTCATTGATACTCAGAGTAGTTGAAATATTTTGGAAAGTTCTTTGAAAATCTTCTTTGTAGTGGGCCCCCACATAAGCTCATCGTAGGGAATGCTTTCACACAGATACACACATATACACGTGTGCATACACAGGAAACCCCAGAAATGACTGAGGTAATAATCTCTTTTTCTCATGGTATCATTATTCACAGGACACAAGTCCTGCTTTAATCAGAATCTTATCATGATTCCTTTTTTTCTAGAGTAGAAATTTCCTGAGCTAGGCTTTCCCTAATGGCTACTTCAGGATCATGAGTATGACAAGTAAGAGATCAATACTGTGGGCAGTTTCCATATCCTGAAAATGGGGTAATCATAGTTACCTGCCACATAGGGATACTGTGAAAATGAACTGACCAATGAAAGAGTTGGCTTAGTAACTGGCACCCTCTTAGAACTCAAAGGCAGGCCTCTTGGCCATATGCTGTTTTTATAGCAAAGATCATAGCACAGCCTAAACAACACAAAGATGCTGGGCTGATCTAAGGGCCATGGGAGTTTATAAGAATGGTTGAGGCAATAAGACTGCTGAGAAAGACCAGTGTTCCCAAGTGCAGTTTTATCAGTTAGATGAATGAGTGGCTTGGGATGCTGGAAAGACATTCTCCTCAACCCCACTTGGATTGATGTTCTGAATCCCACCATCTGTGACTGACACCCTAAATCAGACTTCATATAGGCTTCTCCCCTCAGCTGGCCCAATATCTGAATTTCTACTAATGTCTGAATTTCTGCTCTTTGAGACTACCTCCCTAAGCATCACAATTTATCCTGTATTAGGCATGATAAAGCATAAATACATATGAGAGTCAGTATAATGTCATGGTTTATGAGTACAGGCTTTGAAATAGAAAGCCTGGCTTTGAATACCCACTCATTTACTCACAGGCTGTGCAACCTTGGGCAAGTTGCTTATCCTCTCTGTGCTTTCATTTCCTCTTCTGAAAAGTTGGGCTAATGTCATTCCGATTTCACTGAGTTGTCAGGAGGACTGAATACAATATTATCCACTGTGCCTAGAAGTTATAAGCAATCATTAAGGTTTATCATTATTATTATAAATACCATTAGAACAGACAACTGATCAAGCATCATCTGGCAGAGGAAATTACTTTTTTGCATGTACAAAAATTGTTTACTAAATATGTCTTTTTAAATGTTAAGAGAGAAAATTATGTACTGGCTATTTAAAAATTCTGTCAGAGAAAAAGCTCAGCGCTTGAATAAATGCTAAATTGAACTTATATGAAATGCTAACTTAAGCAGAGTGTGTGAGAAAGAGGGAGCAAAGCTGTTTAAAAAATGAAACGAAAAAATTTAAAGGACAAGAGGGCTAACAGCAAGGTTAAGTGTGGAAAAAAAATGCAGTCGAAGAAATACAAACGCATGCTTATTCTTTTTCCTAGTAGGAGAAATTCTCATAAAATGGTGGTGGGGGTGAAGGGAGGTCAGCTGAGAAAGGAGTGCTAGGCTGCTAGCGCCCTCTCTGTCAAACTGAATCAGGATGGGCTCTTCCTAACTAGCAGTGAGATGGCTGATTTGGACACTTTCGAGATCACTGACTACCCAACTACAAAGCCAACACTTTCATTGGTCAGTTCATTTTCACAGCATTTTTATGAGGCAGGTAACTATGATTACCTCATTTTTGGGATATGGAAACTGCCCACAGTTTTGGTCTCTTACTAGCCATGCTCATGATCCTGATGTAGCCATGGGGGAAAGCTTAGCTCTGGAAATTTCTATTCTAGAAAAAAAGGAATCATGATAAGATTCTGACTAAAGCAGGATTTGTGTCCTATGAGCAATGATACTGCAAGAAAAAAGAGATTATCTCAGTCATTCCTGGGTTTTTTTGTGTGTGAGTATGTATATGTGTGAAAAAATGATTCATCAATTAAAAAGAAACACTCTAAAAACTAGAAAAAAAATTCATGGCAATAGTTAACTCATTAATATAAGAAATATTTTTTGAGTGTCTATCAGGTGCCACCAAGGAGATAGAGCAATGAGAAATTTAAGGCCCAATGAGCATACAGCATGCTGGTGCATCTCAAAATGCTCTGAGAGTTATGAGACACCATGCTACCATATTTATTAACATCTATGTTGGATATATACTTTTAGAAAATGATAAAACTGTATTTGTACACATTGTATTGCTTTCTAATTTTACTTCAGTTTAAGAGTAGTCTGGGTCCGAGCTAGAAGTCTAGCACTTCTGAATTATTTGTAGTTGTGATATTGAACCCTAGGTCTGAAGGTCTCATTCCACAGGATACTAGAGGGAGTGAAATAAGAATTTGAGGACTAAGGAGTCTCAAGCAAAAATTAATGGGATTCATTTGGGGCTCAAAGCCTGGACAATAGTGAAAGTATGGTCTTCCAGAATGACAAGTAAGCAAGGAATACCTGATAAGTGAACAACTTTGCAGAGCTGCCATAAACTAATTATGAGTTATATAGAGCCACCTTAAAAACTGGAACTGTGACTTTCCAAGTAGGCTCAGAATAGTTATTTACAACTTCAGATCTAGCATGAAAAGAAAAAAATAATGTTCTTACAGATCATATACATGAAGCCAAGTTAAAAGGCTGAATGATCAAGAACAATTATGTGTCTTTATATTACTAGGCTGCTCTGATTAATGGAGATCACAAGCTTTGGAGGTAAATTGATCCCAATTCAAATCCTAACTCAATACATTCTAGCCCTGTATTCTGGGCAAGTCTCTTTGCTGAGTCTTATTTTCATCATATATAAAATGGGGAGAGTAAAATCCAGGCAGCAGGTCTGCTATGAAGATTCAATATGTTATGTTATTGTCATTAACAGTATAACTTTAGTATAACTTTCAGTATACTCACAATACCAACAGTAATACCATAACTTTATATTATGCTTTGCTTGAAGTAATTATTTGGAAGACTTTAAAAAATATGCTAGGTGATATCATTTGCAAATATCTTCTCTCATTCAGCTGGTTGTCTTATTGATGGTTTCTTTTGCTGGGCAGGAGCTTTTTAGTTTCACGTAGTCCCATTCATTTATTTTTTGCTTTTATTTTCTTTGCCTTTGAGTTCAAGTTCACAAAATCCCCTCTGAGACCAAGATCCATAAGTTGAGTATTTGTTTTCTATGTGTTTTATTGTTTCAGGTCTTATATTCAAGTCTTTTATCCACTTTGAGTTAATTTTTGTGTATGGTGTCATATAGCAATCTATAAGGGGCTAATATCCAAAATATATAAAGAACTCATATACTTCTACCAAAAAAAAAAAATCCAATTAAAAAATGGGCAGAGGACCTGAACAGACACTTATCCCAAGAAGACATACACATGGCCAACAGATATATGAAAAGATGCTCAGTTCCACTAGGTATAAGGGAAATGCAAATCAAAACCACAATGACATATCACCTCACACCAGAATGGTAATAACAAGTGTTGGGGAGGATGTACAGAAAAGGAAACCCTCATACACTGCTGGAGGTAATGTAAATTGGTGCAGTTCTATGGAAAACGGTATGGAGGTTCCTCGAAAAAAATTAAAAATAGAGCTACCATATGACCCAATGATCCCTCTTCTGGGTAGTTACCCCAAAAATGTGAAAACACTTAAAATATATGTACCCCTATATTCATTGCAGCCTTATTCACAATAGCCAAGACAAGGAAACAACCTAGGTGTCCTTTGACTGATGACTGGATAAAGAAGTGGTACATATATACAGTGGAATACTACTCAGCCATTAAAAGGGTTGAAATCCTGCCACTTGCAACAACATGAATGGATCCTGAGAGTATCACGCTAAGTTAAAAAGTCAGATGGAAAAGGACAAGAACCATGTGATTTTACTCATATGTGGGACATAAAACAAAAGCAACAAATGAATGAACAAAACAAACTCATAGACACAGACAACATTATAGTGATTACCAGAGTGGAAAGGGAGTGAGGAGAGGATGAAGAGGGTAAACATGTTAAAATATATGATAACAGAAGGAGACTGGACTTTAGGTGGTGAACACACAATGGAATATACAGATGATATGTTATAGAATTATCCACCTAGAACTTATATACTGTTATTAACCAATGTTACCCTAATAAATTTAATTTAAAAATTCACTAGGATCATTTGCCCACATGGCAAGAAAAGATGACAGTTTTTCTCCACCCCCACCCCCAACTCTGCAAACATGAAACTGGATCAGAGCTCTGCCACAACCATTGCCCTGCCTGATGCTTCATTCACAAGAATCCTGTGTTACCCAGTATGATGGGCATATCTATTCCAGAAACCACTCACTACTGACCACTCAAGAAACTATGCATTTTAATTTTGGCCCCGTGGTCTCTTCTATGATTCAGGTGTGGGTTTTTCCTTTCTGTGGAAATATATGAGTTTGCTTCAAATCTCCTTCCTGCTATTTTCAGTGGTGTTCCGCAAAGTTGCTTGTGTTGTCATCTCTCATATTTCCATAGACCAGCTTATCTCTTCCTAGTGACTAAAGTCAAACATCACTCTCCTGGGATCGAATTTTCATGAAGAATCAGCCAGAGAAGTCTTCTGCTTAACCTAAAGTAACATTCAATTCTAGTAAAGCCTTGGAGAAGAAAACAGGCTTCAAACTGTCCCTCCGTTAACTCTAGGTGACCACAAAAAGCTGTTTCTTTCAGAGCAAATAGAACCCACTTTCCCCCCTGAACTCAGGTAATTTTTTACTCCTATTTATATCACCAACCTCCAGACTGCACATGCATGTGTAATAAGTCATTTTTGCACAGTTGAACCAAAGTAGAAGGGTTATATTCATTCAATAAATATTTCTTGAGCATCTACTGTGTGCCATATCTGTTGTAGGTGCTGAGGAAAAAGTTGTAAAATATCAATGAAATAGCTAAGATGATTATCATGAAATACCCAGCATTAGAAAAAGGAGTGAGCGAGAGCCAAAGAAAAATTATACATAGAAAAGAAAATTGAGGCAATTCTCTAGATGATTTTAGCCACCCTCTTCCAAACCAAACCCCACTAAACCTAGTAACACTTCTGATCATTTATTCATTATATATGATAATAATTATGAACTTGGACTAAGCTTCTTAAACAGAGTTTGAATTATGTCTTTCACTTAGTAGTTGGAGGACCCTCGTCAAATTATTTCACTTCTTTAGACCATGATATCCTTATCTGTAAAATGAAATTACTAATACTGCCTGCCTCATAGAACTGTTATAAGGATTAAATTAAATGCTGTATATTAGCACATGGTCTGCCTGCCACATTGTAAGTATTCAGTAAAAGTTGATTATTATTATCATTATTACTATTCAGACAAAATATCTCGACCTTGGATTATTTAGTTAATCAATTTTCCTATTCATTTCTTATTATTCCAAACATCTTCCTAAAATTCTTTAATACTTGTGCACAGATATAAATTCAGAGGCAAGCTAATATACTTAAGAAAGGATGAATAGACTCACTGAGATGAGAAATTCAGAAATCCTGGCTCTTGGTCACCTCAGGAGGTCACCAAGAGATGCTTTGT